ATCAAGAGCAACTTCACATGTTATGGGTTTCTTTGAATGGGCGTGGCAGATGGGGGCAGCGAACCCAGATTTTGTTTCTCCGCTCCTGGCCTGGAAATGGAGCCGGGCTCCGCTATCTTGATTGTAGTCATCACTTTATTATTTTTACACCGTGTCGGGCCGCGGTAAGCGACCCAGCAGCTCCGCCTGAAGTCGCCTTCAGCGCATGTTTGTCTACGCCAGCCAAGCCAGCCAGTTGGTCACCAGCTGTTGGTCTCCCTTTGGTGTCCACTCACACCATCATACCACAGTGACGACAACTGACTCGGACAGAAATGTCCCGGCCGGCTCTGTCCCCAGCTAGGAGGAAACTTGTGCAACAGAGGAGAGAAGTGTGTGTGTAACAGCTGGTAGGTTGTGGAGCCTCAAATAGCAGCCCATCCCTAGACTGCTGCTGCTGCTGCTGCAGCGGACAGGGAGACATGGGTGGTTCCCCTCCAGCCCCCCATTTCCTCTCGTGGTGCTGTTTCATCCTCTGCTGTCAGGTTTAACTAACTTTCACGGTAACCAGGTGGCGCTTTTTACCTGAACTAGACTGACTTATGAATGGCAGCCATGATAAAAACATGCCCAAAACATGGTTGTATCCTTCACTGTTGGACTCATCAAGTAGGTGTTTGAGTTCAGCTTTGCAGGCAGTGAGGGAATGTTGCAGCTGCCCATTGATGACTACTTGATAAATGCTTCAGCAGTGACTGTTCTACCAAACTTTTGTCTCAGAATAGTTTCGTGGAAGCTTTGTGCTCAAATTTGTTTCTAAGCGCTTGGTTTGTTTTCTCCACAGGTGAAGTGTGAGATGGACACGTATCTCTCCCCTCCTGCCTTTCCACCCCAGACAGACGGCCAGCAGAAGTCACATAGAGACATCACGTCGGCGGCGGAGCAGTTCTTTAGCGGAGACCACGCCGGGGCTCCCTACACCCTCAACATGAACCTTTACCTCCCCGACGTGGCCTACCTGAGGATGGGCTCGTGTGAGCAGGTGCGGCCCCCTCAGGCCCAGAACCGCGCCGGCCTGGCCCAGATTAAAACGGAAGCTGCCTCGTCGTGTTTCGGCCCGCACCTACAGCCCCACTGCCCAGACGGTACACTCACGAGCAGCTGTGGCACATCCGGGCACGAGCCTAGCAACGCTGCATTGGAAACCTCAGCCATAAACATGTCGCTAACAGGGTTACCGGACTTCACGAGTGTTTTCACCCAGTCGGGAGGAGAGGTGTTCATCAAACAGGAAATGCCGTCGCAGTTCGAGCAGCAAGGCATCCACCACGACGGCAGCGGCTCACTCTTCCAGCTGCTGAACGCCGGGTTGGATCATCACCACATTGATGGGATGGAGACTCAACAGCAGCAGATGCAGCACAATTCCAGTGTTCATGCACCTTTCCATAATTTACCAGTAAATCATGCTTCTTCCCAGCAAGAGCAGGGCACCAAGGCGAGCTACCGCAGGGTGTACGCGCATCCTAATGCTCAGGTGCACTCCCATTACTTGCAGCAGCAGGTGCCCTACCTGCCTCCCTCCCCGCCCAGCTCCGAGCCGGGCAGCCCCGACAGACAGAAGGAGCTGCTCCACACCCTGTCCCCTCCTCCTTCGTACGCTGCCACTATCGCCTCCAAGTTGGCAGGAGCCACGCCGGGGCTCGGACCTGGCCCGGGACCCGCCGGCTTCGCCCTGCCCACTCCAGTCCAAGGCCCGTCTCCGGGCCTCCCCCAGGGCCCCGCAGCCCAGACCACGACGCAGAACTCCGGGACCGTCCGATACAACCGGAGGAACAACCCGGACTTGGAGAAACGCCGGATCCACCACTGTGATTACCCAGGTTAGGAGAGCATCACGCCCTCCACGTTGTGCGTGTGCGCGCGCTGATTGTTTCCCCCGCTGTATTGTGTTTTCGTCTTTTTCCCGGTGCTGTGGTCAGACCAGACTGACGTCTGGCCAGTCAGGAAGGTCAGCATTATGACGACCAGATTCATTTTAAGACTCCCCTGCATTTTTTTGAAATTACACGTTGCTTTTTGAACTTCTGTCCCAGACCTCTGGGGTCACCATGCCTTCCCTGCACTCTGCTTCAGCGGCGTCGTTGAAATATAATGCCAGTACATTTTCTTTAACCATAAGCTCAGGGGAAAAAAAAAAAAAAAACACTTTGCATTTATTATCGCAACCTAAACGATTGTATCACTACCAATCCAGAAGTCCCGACTGTTGAGCCTAAATCAACGCTGGAATGATTGTGGCATGAACCTGTGCTTTTGTGGCTGTTTTAATTACACAGATGGTTTCCTGCAGTCATTTGATCTTTTTTCCCCTACACACAGACACACACAGACATTTGCATGCATGCTTGAGATAGCTTGCTCAGGTTAAAGTATTTTCTTAAACTGCCTGACAAACAGCCACACACATTCAGGCTGTGCGATGTGCAGCAACTTGTAGAACATGAAATGTTAACTAGCCTGTGGCAGCAGGTAAAGGAGAGAGAGAGCGGGGGAGGGGGGGAGGACTTCGGTGAGCTCCCTGTAGCTTGTTCGTACACGCTTCTTTAAAAGTGAGATGACACACATCCATCATTTCCCCGAATCCACCTTTCACACAAGTATCTGTTAAGTTGTACTCTTGTACAGTATAATCACGGCGGGGCAGGACCTTTCTAAATATTATTTTTCACAGATTATTTTGCTTATTGGGACAAGCTAAATCCCACATAGACTGAGTTTGAGCAAAGAGCTATGATACTCTGTTGAGGATCTCCGGAGCATTTACTGTGCTTCATTCCACACAGCTTCTGGTCTTCATTAGTTCAAATTTCTTGCATACCGCAGCTCGGTTTATTGGGTAAATGCATATCTGACACAAGCAGATTATTTGGTCTAAGCTGTCTGCTTTTGTTTATCTCCATCTCTTTGCCTCAGGCTGCAAGAAGGTCTACACCAAGTCGTCCCATCTGAAAGCCCACCTCAGGACTCACACGGGTAAGATGCACCTCTGATCGATGCGCTTTTCAGTCCGCTGTGCTCGGGTTTCAGGTGTCCGCGCTGGCACCGTGTTGCTAGGCAGACCGCCGACTTCTCGTCATGTGTTTGTAAGCGTATCCTCATTCCACATCCCCAGCCCCAATATACTATTCCATCAAAACAGGTGGAAGTGCCACACTTCTGCCAGTGGGTGAGGGGGAATGACTCTAGCAGTATGTGATCGGGGCTAGACGTGCGGTGCCGTCTTTCTCAGATTCACGTCACCAGATCAGATAAAGTGCACTTTCCCAACGCCGGTGTTGCTTTTATTGCCGCTATTAAAGCTACTTGTCAAACTCCTTTTGCAAAACAAAACTTTTTAGATGCAGTGCGTCACCTTTACAGGTATTTTTTTTTGCTATAAAGGTAGTTTGTTGTAAATCGTTATCTAATCAAGAAAAAAATCCACCTTCCGAAAGACGAGCTTCTCAACGTGCCCGCCTCTGATGACATCACGTAAGGCGTAAAAAAACCAAGCAGATTTGTTTTGAAGATGTTTCATGTCAGTGTTGTCAATTCCCCATTGATTGCACTTTGTGTGGCTGTGGGAAAACATTTACGCCATACACTTCAGGAAATCTGGCAACAGTTAAACACGCTAAAGTGATTTGTTTCAGTTTCCTGCTGACTGGAATGGACAGATTTTGGTTTAAAAGATCTTCGGCGATCATATGGAACCACCCTGTTTTTAAAACAAAAAAAGAAAACACGGTTTGGTCGGCGTGGAGTGTTTAATTCAGAACCGCTATATTCTTCCAAAAACTATCACCAGACAGATTTATCAACACGGTCCTCCTATTTAAACCCATCATTCATGCACCTGCAGAACAGCAAATGCCATCAACAGCATTTCTGTCCACACGGGATGTGAGAGAAACAAATACTTTAAAGTTCTAAAAATGTTTAAATGTCCAAATTAAAATAAAAAAAAATTCTGAAAAACCTTCTAAATTTAATGTAAAATAAGGAGATTTTGCCTGAAATTATAACAAGGTGGACTTTTTATTTTTGATTTGTCTCATTAAAACTTATACTTCTGCCCAAGTCATTGGTGGTTATAAAGCCATGATTTTCATACTTCTATGTCAGTCATTTATTTTATATTTATGCTTCTAGATTAGCATCTTAAACGTTGTTGTTGTTGTTTTTTTTTTTTTTTTAGAAATTAAATGACAAAATAAAGCAATATGAGATCAAAAATTTATATTTAATGCCGATTGTTATATCCTGGATTTTCCAGAGTACGGATTACAAGTAGAATGCATAATTTTGTGACTTTGTGTGAGGGTTCTGCATGTAAACCAGTCAGGTGGAATATTTGCAACAGGAGTGAAAACCACATTCACACCAGTTAGAAATCTGATCACAGCTTAAGATTTCTGCCATCACTTGGTGGATGTTTAGTTGCCAGTTGTTACATCCAATGACTTGAAATAGTTTGCTTTTACTTATGTCATATTGTGAGAAAATTGGGGTTGGATGAATCCAGTAAAAAAATAATAATAATAATAATAATCTACCTGCAGGATGTCATTTAGTTATTTTTGGTTTGATCGGGATTCATGATCTGTCATTTTGCGTCACACGGCCTTAACAGCATCAAGACCAAAACAGATGTGAAAGGAGTGTAACACAAAGTATAACAGATGTACTGAGGGATGGAATGACATGGATCTATTCAATTTTTGGTGCCTCTGATGTCACTGACCCAAATGAACAAAGCAGAATTATCCGGATTGTTTTATCTAATTATGTAATGTTTTTTTGTGAAGTCCTTCAGTGGAAAGCCATACCTTCTTACCCAGCTTTGTTTTTTTGTTTTTTTTTTTTGTTTTTGTTTTTATCAGTTCATATTTGTTAGTGAGAGTAAATGCAGTGGATTGATAGTAGTTTTTACTGTACACAAATTTTTGTTGTCCAAAAGCTCTTCCTGTTTTAAGTCCCCCCCCCCACCCCTCTCTAATAATCCTGGTCGCATGCACTTTCCCTTTATCTCCGATCCCCTTTCCGTCTCTGTGTTTTCCTCAATCCGTTTCCTCCTCGCACGTTTAGTTTCAAACCATTTGGTTTTCCTGGACGAACAGAGTCAACAAACAAGTGCTTAGGTGTTGGGCCCCACCTCGCTCCAGCTGACAAAACAAAGCTTCTGTTGATATCTGGGCATTCCTCGCTCATCTGGAAGTACACACAAAAAGCTCTCTCTTTCTCGCCCAGAATCAGTTCCACTCATTAATCCGGGTGATTTGTGCAAAACGGCGGTGTGCGTGTGTGCGTGTCTGTATGTGTGTGTGTGCATGTCTCTGAAGTGCATTTCAGTATTAGGAACATGACACGACAATTAGATCATTCATGCTGCAGGCTGATTGTGGTTATTTCAGTTATTACAGACCACAAGATGAGAGAACAACACGTAAACGGTTGCATAGCTCGAGCTATATATCCTCCCCACTCTCAACAACCTTTTCTTTTCTCTCTCTCTCAGTTCCTTTCGTTCATCCAATCATCCTTCCATCTAGTTTTTTTTTTTGTTTGTTTGTTTTTTGGATGGCTTCCACCTTCAACCCTTTGTGAAATCCCCTTCCCCCAACAATTTATTTCTATCTTTGTCTATTGCTCATTCTACATCTCTGATTCAGATGCTTCAGTGCACATGCACGCACGCGCACGCACACACACACACACACACACACACACACACACTTCCTCACGCACCTGTCAGTAATCTGTATGAGATGATTCCTAATGCGTTTGGGCCCCGGTGGGAGTTCCCACTCTAATCTCCATCAACATCCATTACCCTGATTGTGAGTGTGTCGGTCTGTATTTGTGTGTGGGGAGGGTGGATGTGTCTGAAAGTGTATCCAGCTCGTTCTTTCATCGACTCTCTTGCTCGTGTTGTCCGCGTTCAGGTGCGTGTCAATGATGCGTTTCTTTAGTGTGCCAACGTCGTGATTCATCGCGCTGCGGCTTAATTTTTGTGGTTTGAGCAACACTTCGCAGCCTGTTGTGCTTGTTTGGAGAGTTTGAAGCAACCCGAAGACGCTTAACGCCACTTGCTTAACTTCTGTGCCGTACAATTCAATCTGGACTCGACGCTTAAAACTAAAAACTTCTCACTTCCATCTCAATGGCGCAGTTGAGTCAGGAAAGTTTTTATTAATGAGATCTAAATCTTCTTAAGCCTGCCTCCGCACACACACAGACACACACACACACATACACACATACAAACACCTTTAACCTAAAGGTTAGAATGCTGCGCAGACATCAGAAAAAATGCAAATCTTTCCACAGAAACTTTTCATTTCTATCAGCCATTTGCATTCTTGTTTTTGTTTTTGGTGAAACTGATATTTTTATGGTAATCATGCATGAAAAAAATGTTGTAGTTTGGCTTTAGACTTACACGGTTCAGGTGTATTAGGCTATTTTTTGTGGTGTGCACAAGGTTTTAGCACACTATCTATGAATATGATCTGCCGTCATGCAGGTCCTTATCATGACACTCCCATCTCTGTCCTTCACTTTCAGCACATTTCAGTCGGTCTGGCTGCAAAAATATCAATGACATCTATACACTATTTTTTTTTTTCTTTGTCTTTCCTGACTCTTCTGGCCAATTGTTTTCCACTTTCTTTTTCTGCTAGAATGTTAGCATGAGGCCTAAACGGAGAGCTGTGTTAAATAATATTGGTTTCATCAAAAATAATTAGAAATGCACCAATCAATTGGCCAGAGATCTTAATCAGCTAATTTCTCAAACTTCATTTTTGCTCTACAAAATAATCGAGCAGTGCTTTTTCTTAATCTGAGTTACGTTGAACTCTTTGGTTAGAAACCAATGCTGTGGTGCATAAATTGGGACAATCTGGTAATTCTCTCAAATTCCCAATGGATTCAGAGGTACTGTCAAAGAACCTGCAGCACATTTTTAGAATTTGCATTGGAAAAAAAAAGTACTCTTTTCAGCTGATGTCATGTTTTATTTTCAGTCGAGATTAACAAAAACAATTATTGTGCAAATGTTTAAAAAGGAGCATGTGCATGACTTTGACCATGCACAAAGACATTTAGACCAATGAGACTGAAACAAGTGATTGGGTAAAGGTTGAGGCCACACAAGGTTTCTGCAAAGCGCCTGCAGCCAGAGGTGTGGAATGAAGAAGTGACAAACGGCCTAAACCCATCAAAGACATGCCAGAAGTAGTGGTAGACAATACAGAGGAGTATCTGTGGGAAACTTGCGCAGCACTGGTGTTGGAGTGCTTGATAAATGCCTGTGAGTGACAGCGTTATGACTGTATATGCTGTCAGACAACTGGAATTGTCAGCGAAGCCTGTTTTCCCAGTTTCTCCACCTGACTGTGTGAATCACTCGAAGGATTTAACTTGTGTTTTCAAAAAAAAGTATATCACTGTCATCAGTACGTGCGACCCCTCACTTGAACAGTTTGCGAAAATGTTAAGACGTTCAGGTCGACACTGATGTTATCTGAACTCACTAAGACTCCCTCCTCCTCTTTTTCCTCCTCCTCCTTCGTTGCAGGTGAGAAGCCGTACAGGTGCACGTGGGACAGCTGTGACTGGCGCTTCGCTCGATCCGACGAGCTCACGCGCCACTACCGGAAGCACACGGGGGCCAAGCCCTTCCAGTGCACCGTCTGCTCCCGCTCCTTCTCCAGGTCCGACCACCTCGCGCTGCACATGAAGAGGCACCAGAACTAGCCACGTTTTTATGCACGCGTGCCACGGTCGTGCTGCGAGTGCCCTCGTCCTGAAGCTCACGTAAAGCGCTCGGCTTGAGTCCGACAGCTACAGTGTTAAGCGGCTGCGCGATGCCAAGCAGCTTTACTGACGTCCCAGCTCCTCCCGGTGCTGCCATCGATCGATACTATTGTATGATAGCTAAGGAAGAGAACAGTGGCCAAGAAAAATGTTTGGTTTAACACCGTCACAAGGTGTGATGAAAATTTCTTTGGACAAGAACAAAAGAAAAAATAATATAAAAGCTCCATAGCGTAAAGAAAATGGTAGCTCCTTCACGTTTTCCGGTCCATTTGGACTTTGTGTGACTGGAAAGAAAAAAAAAACATTGTCTGTCTTTGTTGTAATGTAGAACTTCTTAATTCAAGAACATCTTTTGTTTACTCATTGGTATATTTGTTTAAATAGCTGGAATATCCAGGTTTGATATTATTTTATTTTTTTTAACCAAGTCCTTCGGTTTGCACTAGAACTGATCGTGTATATCATGCACCAACAAAACGTTCATTATCACAACTGGACATGCCACGCCAGTCATCACTGTCTGGATTTTAAACATTGAAAGCATTTATTCTCCTGAGACAAAGAAGATGAAGCATAGAAGAAGAAGAAGAAGGAAAAAAAAACATGAGAGGAAGGTAGAGATGGCAAGACTGAATTGTTTTTCGTTTTATAGAGAGGAAATCTGCAGATGGCTGAGTAACATAGGGACATGGGTGGATTGTAAAGAGCAGCCATTAGGTGATCAATTATTTAGAATGGGTTTTTGATGGATGTCCAGCCGGAGAAATGTAAGCAGACCTGACTCTGTTAAAACAGAAGCAGCTGTATTTATGCACAAGCTTGAATTAAGCATCTTCAGAATTTTATTTCTGTGCAGATTGTGCCATCCAACTTTTTTTTTTTTTTATTTTTTTTTTTTTTTTTTTTTTTTGCATTTTAACCAAAGTCTAATCTTCATCATCAACACCCCTATGAAGTGCCTCCTTCTGTGGTTAAATGTGTTCCTGTTCTGCCAGAGCTGTGATTAGTGTAGGCGGTTCTTTTAAACACACATGGTGCTGTTTTTGGTTCCTGTTCTGTTTTTAAAAAAACAAAAAAATCTCTGAACTCAGTACGGGGAGAGGGAAACGAGAAACTTTAATATACGAGAGCTGATCATCTCCATTGTAATATAACAGCTCAGCTCTGAACACTTGAGACATCCTGAAACGGCGTGGAGCTTTTGTACTAAAGTGACAGTCTGTCTCTTTCTCCAAGGAGGTTTTAGCCTTTTTTAAATTTTTTTTTAATCTGTACGAAGATAAATAGCAACAGGGCTCCATCAGGCCTTCAAACTTGGACACATGCTCTGTTAGAGGACAGATTTGCTACGTTTTTGAACTTAAAGAACTTGAATATTTTACACATAGCTCCATTTAGATAAACGTCTTCCTCTTGCCGCCATTAGCACCCTGACAGCAGTTTTGTTCAGAGATGCACCAGTCAGAGTTTTTTCGATCTGTTTTGTAAAACTTTAACCCGCCGTTACTTTGACTGTATGAGATGCTGACGTCTCATACTGGGTGCGTGCGCACCTTCATACGCTGTAATTGAGAGCAACCACACCACAAACTGGGTTTTTACCGACCCAGTTTGGTCGTTTTGACGTTCTGGTTTTGACGTTTCAAAACCAGAACCAAAGCACGGCAGACTGAGATTGAAGCTCAGAAAGTCTGGCTCTCTCTCGCTCTCTCGCAGCTCGATGTTGCTGCAGATACACTGAAAGGTGCTGCTGTCAGTGCAGCCTGGTTTTTTTTTTTTTTGCTGACATGCCGTGTGTTCACTGATGGGGAGAATATTTTTGAGTTTCCGACCTGACGATCAAGCAGAAAATTGGCCTTAATAGCTGATTTCTCGGTGCATCTCTGCTTTTGTTCTACTTTGGCAATCTACAATCGTGGAAACCACAACTCCATGATCCATTAAGACCTACTGTACCTTCTTTTTTTACTAACTAATAAAAACAAAACGGGACCTTTTTTTAATTCAATAAATTTGGGTAGCTTTTGTTTATAGATGTCTGGTCTTAATGGATTACTTTATTTACAGAACATGAGCTTAAGAAGGGGGGGGGGAGGGAATCTGTCCTCTAATAAACACCCAGGTGTGAGTTTGATTGTGTGATTTGGCCTTTATAACTGTACTTGTTCATTCACTGCAGGTAGCTTAAAGATAATATAGCACTGTATTCTAACAAGGGAAATCTCTCTATTTATTTAATTGTGTAGACGCTGGGATATAACAGATTCACTGTGTTTGTTTTTTTTGTTTGTTTTTTACCCCAGCAAAAAAATGCCTTAATGTAAATAAATGCACTGTAAATACATTTTTGTTCAATTTTTTTTTAAATGTGTTAACAATAGGGCAGAAAAAGAGGAAAATGCCCTGCATCCAAAAAA